CCAGAACGTATGGTAATAATACTGTAACTATTTGTAAAATACTGCCAGGTTTGTCACATTTAGAAAATTCATAGCACATTTTTGGCACATAATCTATTCTGAATAATGGTAATAAAGATGTATGTGTGTGTATATGTGTGTGTGTGTGTGTGTGTGTGTGTGTGTGTATGTTTTTAACAGCTCTATTTATTTTATTGATGCAAGACAGTAAGTTAACTAAATCTCTATCATCAATTTGTTTGACCCAGGTACAGATTAGATCCCTGCAAAGCCAGTTGTTTGTCTTTTAATCCAATTATGCTGAAAGCCTTTGAAATTTATATGGAAATGCTGCAGACTTTTTCTTGCCATGGGGTGTGAGTGTGTGTTACGTACGCTAACTAAGATACCTTATTTCATTGGGGAAAAAGTTCTGAAATGTTTTAAGATTTACGAAGTCGAAAGCATCTCTGACAACTTGGGAGAGTTGTTTTAAAGCTGGAGGCCTAAAGCTCCAGGCCCCAGCATCTGAAAGAGTTGCCAGGAGCCTTGACAGGAGATTAGGACCAGGACAGGGCTGGGAAGTGATAGTGAAGTCCATCGTGAGGTGGTAAGAAGGCGAATGCTGAGCTCAAGAACTGGCAGGGAATGAAAAATAGGGTAAAAATAAATTTTTGGCAAATATGGCAATGGTGGGGGACCGAGAAGGAGGGGAGATTATTCAGCAAGAGATGAATTTCCCTCTGTAAGTTAAGTAGGGGCTGCTTCTAAAGAAACCGAGTTATTTTGCTCCCCATCGAGCCCAGGCCAGTCACAGGACCACACCATTGCTCAGGGCAACTTCATTTCAGCCAGACCTTCCAGCACTGCGTGCCACACACGGGATCCTAGAGTCCTGGCCCTACTAGGTCATTTTGCCACATTTTTAGTGGGTACCCAGTCTCTACTTGCCATAGAAGTTTCTAACTATTTTCCACAGGGCCCTGTGAAGTGTTCAGTGTCCCTTTTATTGACTTCCAAATGCTTCCTAGGCTCTATTAAGTGCCATGCCAATATTCTCTGGTTTTTCAGCCCCTGATTTAAATCTCATTCCCCCTCACCATTGTGCAACTTTCATATGGCAAGGTGGTTCATGGAGTATTTTCACTTCCATGAGGAGCCCTTTGTAGCTGGATGCTGTGCTGGGAAGTGCCCTCAACTGATGCTGTGTGGTGTGGTTAAAAGGACACAGAGTTTCAGACTGGGACAGTCCTGACTCAACCCCCTTGCAGCTATGTGACCTTGAGTAAATGATTTCATCTTGCTGAGCCTCAGTTTGCTCCTCTACAAAATGGGAGTGATGGTGCATATGGAAGCTCATAGACTGAGGATGAAGGAGATCGTGTATGTAAATCATTGTCAGCACGGGCCACGTGATGCTACACACTTGCGTCCCCCTCCTTTCCCTGCCGTTCTCTTTTGACTCGCCTCCACTACACCTCAAAACAATTTCACCCATTCGTTCCTTATTTCTCTGGCCTCAGAGAGAGATACACCTGCACCTCCCGAGGCCGGCCGCTTTATTCCCAGCCTCCACCCTGCCCTCACCCTTATCCCGTCTTCCAACTCTCCCTTGCCACTAGCCTCTCATCCTGATACTACACATATGCTCGAGTTTCTTTTGTACTAAAAAATGAAAACCTTCCCTCAACCTGCTTCCCAATCATGCTTTTCAAACTACTTTATAATCAAAAGCTCATAGAAATCACTTTGCCCAAGGTAGCCTGCAACTCTCTTAAGAGCTGGTTAGAAGCACGTGTCATCTTGGGCATGAGGCCCAGTGGGCACCGCTGTGTCAGGCGGCCCCTCGCATTCAGGCAGGACCCCCAACTATGCCAGCAGTGTAGCACTAACATTTGTAGGACTGTCAGCACCATCGCATACCTTGTCAAATGTTTAAGTATTCTCAGAAATACCGACAGTTTCCAAGAGCTGTTGTCTGATTTCAATTCCAGTGGCCTGTTTCATCCACCATTTTTAAAAAGTGTTTTTAAAACACACCATTAAATTCACCCTTGTGTTTGAAACTCTGAACTGCATAATCCCAATTATTGGTGATTATCGTGGACTTCTCTTTCACTTGTAGAGTTGGGAACCAGATGGTTGCTGTCAAATGTCTGAGTAAAGGGAGAGTCGCCCTTCACATTTCTTCCACCTGCGCCCCTCTTATTAAGAAGCACTGCTTTATTCCTAATTTAGAGGGAGCTTCAGTCCCTGGACCTTTGGGTACTTTGGCTAGTCTTTCCCTGTTCTTTCAGCTTGCTCTGCCATGACTCCCCACACAAGCCTTAGCTGGAGATGCACTGGTGACTCGTCACCACTCGTACCCCTGCACACCAACTACCACCCCCCGCCTCCCCACCCGCCAGCGCGCTCGCCATCATTAAGGGTCAGGTCAGATCCCACAGCCCTCACGAAGTCTGCTCTGGCTGTTCACAGCAGAAAATACGTCCTCTCTCCTCTGAACTCCTTTGGTGTTTCTAGTTGAGCCATGAGGCTGCGCTGCTTTGTGACCGCTCTTACTTATCTAGTTGACCTGCTTCCCTATTTGACATGGTGTGTGGGTATTCTGTCTCCCAATTAGCCTGAAAGGTTCTGGTGGACAGAGATCATTTCTTCTTCTACCTCCTGCCATCCCTAACCTAGCCCCTGGCATAGTAGCTACTTCCTGTGTCCCTGTTTCTTTTCCCTCACCAAGTATCACTCCACTGTTACCCTAATTGATTTTCACTTTATTTCTGACTCTTTCCACAAAACAGGCTTTTTTTTTTATAATTCACTCTGTATGATGAGAAAAACCTCCTTCCTCCACATCTGGTTTCAACTATCTTCATAAGCATATTCATTATTTTCGCTTCTAGTCATTAGGCAGTAAGTCCACGAATATCATAAATTGAATATCCACTGTGTGCAAGACACTAAACCAAGTGCTTATAATTAAAGATTACAAAAAACTTGGAAGGCATGGTACAAAAAGGACAAGCGTGTGTGTGTGTGTGTGTGTGTGTGTGTGTGTGTGTGTGTGTGTGTGTGTGTGTGTGTACGTACATAAATTACATCAAAAAATATAAATAGTGCAAATTGATATAATGAAAAAGCATTAGAGGTTTACAGAAGAGCCATTAGAATGGATTGTGCTTAACTGACGAAAAATGTCTTAAAACAGATCATTCAGACCCAAGTTTTGAAGAGAAAAGAGGGAAACAGGGTCCGGAAGAGCAGGGCTCATGCCTGTTTTTGCTTGCCATCATTTTCCCACCACCTGCGAGAGTGCTGGGTCCACTATAGACCTGCAGCTAATATCAGTCAAGTAAATGAATAGCCAAATGCTAAAAGAAGAAGTCAGTCCCATGTGGAGAGACCAGCTCATGCAAAAAAGAACAAGCACATTATGCTTGCAAAACAGCAGATTTGTTTTCCTGGGTGGAACCAAGAAATTACAAGCAAAATAATGGAGAAAAAGGACAGTAGAAAACTGATGAAAGGCATGGAATGTCTTGCCAAGATTTTGGTTTTAACAGATAGCAACAAACACTTTATTATCCATTCATTCGTTTATGCCACAATTATTTATTAAGCATCTACTACATGCCAAGACACTATGCTAAGACCTGGGGATTCTATAGTGAACAAAACACAGTCTCTGCCTTCAGGATCATGCAGGCTTTTCATCATGAACTAGTAAGTGGTGGCACATATTTATGACCCTGGTTATTGTTATTCTAACAGTTGTTAGTACAGGAGAGCAATTTTTCCAGCCTCAGTCATAGACGGCTCCAGTAGAGAGCAGGAGCCTTAGTCAAAATGAGCTCCAATGTGGAATACATCATAACAGCAGATGATTTGAAGGCAGCAGGAGGATTTAAAACTTAAGGAAGAACTTTCTGCCTGGAAGGTTGTCTGGGATTATAGAATGGCCGATTGAGCAGCTGTGGACAAGCCTGAGTTTATTTATGGGCCATGCATGAGCCCAGGTCTGCCAGTTTTCTTGGCATTGGGTCTAAATGATGGGCTAAGAGAAAATTTTTTTTTTAAAAAGGATGATTTTTTTTTTTTTTTTTTTTTTTTT